GAGCTGGGATACCTTGAAAAAAACGTTAAGGTATCCTCGGCGATCCCCGAGATGGAAAGCGAAGAATAGAAAAAGGATAAGGAGGAGTGGTGGGTCACAGGTCGGCTTCGCCGGGAGGGAGGAGGGGTGAGTCACCTGTCATCTTCGTCGGACATGGAGGACGGCGAGAAGGAAGAGAAAAAAGAGAACAGGGAGTGGTGGGTCACCTGTCGGCTTCGTCGGGCAAGAAGAGGGGTGGGTCACCTGTCGTTTTTGTCGGACATGGAGGAGGGCGAAAAGGAAGAGACATAGGTGGACGAGGAGTGGTGGGTCACTGGGCCAAACCGTGGAGGCTAGTCCACAAAAAAAAACTTCCACAAGAAACCCAACCCTGAGACCCCAGGACGTCCATTGATTTTTGGTGTGGGAACGTCACGCTTCCCATCGCAAAACCATCGAAACCCAAGAAACCCATGGCACCCTGGAGGCAAGCAGTGCTTCTTGGCATGGGTCTCCACTGTAGGAGCCATAGCAACAAGAGGAAGCAACGGAACCACCCACGGGAACCACCCATACGAATCACAGGAACCACGAAGAGCGCGCAAATGCAAACCTGAGTGGTGCGGGGGGGCTTCGGAGCCGTACGAGCCATATCAGCCATAAGAAACAAAGGAACCGCCCATGGGAACCAAAGGAATCACGAAGAGCGCACATGGGCAATTGTAGGTGGGCGCAGTGGACCAGTTCTCGAGGGCTTGAGCTAGGACTTCTGTGATCAAGCCTATGCGGAGAATTGCATAAGGCTCATCCAAGCTTCCCGCAAGGGGCAAGTGCAAGTTTAGGACTCCGCCTGTCGCCTTCGCTAATGTCTGCCCCTTGGGTGTCTGCTCGAGAAACTCTCCGCATGGTGCCAACGGAAACTGGAAACGGGTGAAGGACAAGGGTCGTCTACGGAGCATGCCAATACTGAAATAGATTGAAAACCACCCTAACGGCATGTCCAAGTTCAAGTAGTTACGCGTGAATTCACAAAGACCTGGCAAATCCGATACATGCGAGATGCACCGTGCGCCCAGATGGCCAAAACTGTTTTTGGCATGTGCACTCCGTGGGATCGGACCGAAAGAAGATGCGAACCCAATGAGTCTGCCGCTCGCTGGCTTAGCGTCGAACAGCTCTGCCTCTGCAGGGAATGGCACAGGGCAACCGTCTCTTCAGATGATTGGTCTGCTCCATAGCCTGCACGCGAAACGTAGAGATCGTGTTTGCATCGACTCTGACAGACTGAAGACCCTCGTGCATGAACGCCTTCGAGTTGCACGATACAGGCAAGGGACCCAAACAAACGGACTCTACATCGCGTGACGCTACAATCGCGCGGGCCGACAAGACAAAGCAGCACTGCACGGGCAATGCGGGCTACTGGAGCCGATGATCAACCACATGCAGTAAATATGATAGTGCGGCATGCGGAGTGTGCGCATGCACGTTGAATGACAGAACTTGGCGTAATGTGCCACCGAGCTGGCCACCCTTGTCGGGTTTCATCCTGAACCAAATCCTGTCGGCGTGCCCGGCTACTGAACCACCGTACGTCAGCGCTGAAGAAGGAAGCCGTGCCTGGAATGTGTCAAGGTCCTCGTCGACTGCTGTGCTCGCCCTCTTGAAGCAGAAAAGCAGATCGCCACGGATTCAGTACTTTCTTTGGGCGAGCGCGGACGACCCGACGACCCGAATTGATTGCCGAATTGGCGTCATTCAGCAGCGGCGACCTTGCTCCCAGAGGGCTCCCCGCAAACCAGCCCAGAGACCCCTCCTCCGAGGGTGCGCCCCGCGACGTGCGAGAGAGAGAGAGAGAATGTCTTTCACGGGCGCTGTGCGTCGAAATATCCGCCCACCCCCCCTCCCCGGAACCAGGACCTCTCCCCTCCCGCCACCGACAATCCCCCCCCCTCCCGCAAAACCGATCCCGCACCCCCTTTGATGGGAGGGGGAAAACGGTGGGGGAGACAAGCCCGCCCCCTCCTTGCGCGCCGACAAGGACGACAACGAACGCAAAGACGACGCCGACGCCGACGACGACGGCAAAGACGATGGCAATGACGACGGACGACGACGACGACGGACGACGACGACGACGACGACGACGACACACGACCACGAACACGAAGAAGCCGACAACGCTGAGGAAGAGGACAACGACGACGTCGGCGACGTCGACGACGTCGACGACGGCGACGACGGCGGGCGGGATCCGAACGGGTTTGTCGGGCGGGTGGGCAAGACCCTGGCGGGCGGGTCGGGCGCGTGGGTCCTGAACGGGCGGGCCGTGCGGGCGACACCGAAGGCCATGCCGAAGCGTTGCGAGCGGGGCGCGGCCATCGGAAGGGGCCAAGGGTGGGCCGGAGGGGCAAGGATGCAGGGGTAGCCTCGGGAAGGTTGCCCATCCTTACTGTGCGGGTTGGCTGTAAATCGTGCGGGCAAGCCTCCAAGCATTCGAGCGGGCGGGACACAAACGGACGGGTCGGGCGGGCGGGACCCTACCAGGCAGGTCGGGCGGGACACCAACGAGCGGGTCGGGCGGGACTCAACTATTTCGGATCGGGAGGGCGGGACAGTCAAGCGGGCGAGCGGGCGGGACATCAAAATCAAGATTCGCTCGCGTATCACAGATCGTCGTCGCCGTCAGTCTTAGCGTGGTGGCCGTCATTCGCGTCGTCGTTATCATCGTCGTCGTCCGCGTCGTCATCGTCTGCCGGCGTGCGTGCAAGATGGGGGGGGAGTCTGACCCCCCCTGCCATTCGGAGAGTTTCTGAGGGGGGGGAGGCGGCGGGGGGAAGGGGGGCGATCCCCACCCACTTCAGGGGGGTCCAGGAAATGCCTGGGACTTTGGGGGAAGGAGCGTACAGTGGAGGCCAGTCACCAAGAAACTTTCCACAAGCAACCTAACCCTGAGACCCCAGGACTTCCAATGATTTCTGGTGTGGGAACGTCACGCCTTCCACAGCAAAACCGTCGAAGCCCAACAAAGCCAGGGCACCCTGGAGGCCAGCAGGGTGTCTCTTGGCATGGGCCCCCCCCACTCCTCCTCCTCCTCCTCCTCCTCCTCCTCCTCCTCCTCCTCCTCCTCCTCCCTCCTCCTCCTCCTCCTCCTCCTCCTCCTCCTCCTCCTCCTCCTCCTCCTCCTCCTCCTCCTCCTCCTCCTCCTCCTCCTCCTCCTCCTCCTCCTCCTCCTCCTCTCCTCCTCCTCCTCCTCCTCCTCCTCCTCCTCCTCCTCCTCCTCCTCCTCCTCCTCCTCCTCCTCCTCCTCCTCCTCCTTTTCCTCCTCCTCCTCCTCCTCCTCCTCCTCCTCCCCTCTTCCGCCAGCCCTATCAAGCGCCCACGGGAAGCGCTGTTTCGGACGCGACCTGCGCGATGTTTCTCTTCCCTCCCCGCGCCCGCGTGGCCTCCTCCTCCTCCTCTTCCTCCTCCTCCTCCTCCTCCTCCTCCTCCTCCTCCTCGGCATGACGCCCTCGGCCAGTGCGTTCTTGGCTCGAAGCGGTGACGGACCCGCCAACGGCGTCCGCGCAGACGCCGGCAAAACATTGAATGACCTACTCGGTATTCCACACGCGCGTCCGACTAGCCTGGGCCTGACCCGACTGCACGCAAGAGTGGCCATAAGCAGGAGCAGCTCCAAGCCCATGCGCGCAAACCGCTGCGATCGCATCGCCTCCAGCGGTCGGGAGGCCCCAAGGGGCGCACACCAAAGGTCACTCGGGCAAAGGGTCACTCATACGTGCATCGGGGGCGGCCAAGAGGGGGGTGTCCAAGAGGGGGAGGGGCGCAAATCATGATTGGCGGCACGTGCGCGGCCCAGCGGGGGGGGGCCAGGGACGTAATGAAATAAGAAAAAGCGCAACGAAATCTGGGGAAACATCATGGCCCCCGCCATGATATCCCGCCCCCTAGTCATCACCCCCCTTTGCCGCCCCCGAGTGTAGTCGTGTGGTCGACTCGCTGCTGAGTCGCATGCGTGCAACAGCGCCTCGCGCAGATGTTCCCCTGCTTACCGGTTTGGCCATGCGGCTGACGCTTCGCGGCCCTGCTCCTGGTGGGCCGAGGGGCGGCCGCGCGAGCCTCCCGACACAGAAGCATACAGAGCACGCGCGCTCCCAGCAGGCAAGCTGGCCATCCCGTTGCGGCCGCACATGACAGCGCGCGATTCAAACAACTAGTTGGCCAGCATTCGTTTTTTGTCGCAACCGCAGGCGGGGGCGCCAGCGGCGAGTGAGGTCCGAGCGGGCCGCGCAAGAGCCGAATTGCCTAACGCCGACGGGCCGGCGACCTCAGCAGCGCCTCGGCGGGCGTGCCGGCGAGAGGGGGGCGTGCAGGCTGCGGCTGCCAGGGACCAGGTGGCCAGCATTCGCTCCACAGCGTCCGAGAACACGCAGTCGCGCACTGGCTCGGCGCCGCTTCAGAAGCCCCAGCGATCGGCGATGTGAGCAGCGCTTTCGCAGCAACATGGCGCAAAAGAATCGGTGGTAAACGTTTCGGTAGGTCGCGCGAAGGATCTAGCGAGGATCCAGCGCGCGAAGGTCGGTGGAGAAGCGGTTTAGCGCGCGAGGGATCCAGTAGCGTTCTTCCTCAGCATGTCGGTCAAAGGAGGGGTGAGTGGCGTGATGTCAGACACTGCCATAGCAGCGTCTGTAACATCGGCAAGAGGTCTCTGTAGCCTGCTAACCATGATGATCAAGGCGAACCCAGATCTCTGAGCCCTGCCAACATGATTCAGGCAACTCCTGCGATCTTCACTTCGCCAACCCCAATCCTTTTTGGGGGTGCCCAGTGTGTGATTTCTTGGACGACAATTGTGAGCAGCACCAGCAGAAGCTGAAATCTTGGACGACGACTCTGGGCAGCACCAGCAGCAACAGACAAAGCGGCAGAAACCGAAAAGCAAGGGAAGGAGCGCAGAAGGTGAGTCGGTGCGCGCGTGAGCGTAGCACGGGGGCCGCGTCATGCCGCGACGCCCCCGAGCCTCACAATTCAGTTTTTCTCCCGCCGCTGCACTTCTCTGGATCGCTGCTGCATACCTCGTCCACCTGCTGCAACACGTAGGCGCACGCGTCGGTGGCCCCCATGCCTGGATGGCGAAGGGCGGGTGGGGAATGTGAAAGGGAGGGATGGGGGTGGTGGTGGGGAGATAGGACGGGGGGAGGGAGGAAGGAAAGGGAAGAGGAGCAGGAGAAGGGGAAGGAGGTAGTATCAGGAATGGGGATCGGAATAACAACGTGATGGTGCCATACAGTATGAGCCCGACCACAAGAAACCTTCCACAAGAAACCCAACCCTGAGACCCCAGGGCGTCCATTGGTTTCTGGTGTGGGAACGTCACGCATTCCACAGCAAAAGCGTCGAAGCCCAAGAAAGCCATGGCACCCTGGAGGCAAGCAGGGTGTCTCGTGGCATGGGCCCCACTGGATCTTGACGGCTTCTGGCGGGTTACCTCCTCGGCGCCGCTGGAATTCGAAAGGCCCCTGGAATATGGTCCACCTTTCCCCGTCTGGCATCGTTCAAGGACCTGCAGCACGGCATCACGAGATCCGGGCTAGGCTGGCAGAGCCAACAGTAACCGCAAGAGCCGACGAGCCACATCCCAAGTGGCCGATGGTGCGCTAAATGATGCGACTCGCGAGCCCAACCCAAAGCGATGTTCAGCTTCTCTTGGCGGCGAGCGGGGGGGAGAAGTGAGAAGGAGAAGGCCTTCTTTAAGGCGGCGGGACTTCTCAGAAGCCCTCGCGACTTCTGAGAAGTTGTTTCTGTATTCGGGGAAGGCCTAGAAAACTTCTCAGAAGGCCTGGGGACTTCCGAGCCTTCTGAGAATGCCCGCCCCTTCTCACTTCCCCCCCTCGCTCGCCGCCGATTCTCTCCAAGGGGCCTACGTGAAACTATGGAAACAGCACAAAGCAAGGGGTAGCAGGGCGGCCCCAGCCACTCCTGAAGGGAGGCTTGAGCGGCACCGCTCAACGCAACACTTGAGGCCGCACTCGCTTACCACGTGCGTGAGGTGTGCTGCGCGCGGCCACAGCAGGCGCAGGAAGGGAGGCGGAGGATTGGAGGCGCAACCTCAGATACGGACTGTGCCGCCTCTAACTAACGTAGCTCGAAGCAGCCGTCGCGTAATCGCGGCAACTCGCCGCTCACTGTCCGCATCCCTGGCTTTAGTTTCATGACTGACTCTCGCTCTCTCCGATGCCCCTTTTGCCAATGCATGAAGAAAACATTGCCACACAATATGTATGTATGAATATACGTGTTTTGGGTCGCTGCGTCCGCCGTCACATGATGTGTCGGCACCTGCAGGACGACGAACTCGGACTGATCCCGCTCTTGAAAATGATTGCGGGCTTCACCCCAGAGGCCGCCCATCTCTCCAGGCAATGGGAACATGCAATAAAAAGCCAACGGCAGGGGAGGGAACAGGGGGACGGAGGGATGACGAGACCCTTAGGTTTCCTCCAGGCGTACTTATGTTTACGGTAGGTGCTTTCAGGTGTCCTTATTGTTCCAGCCTGTTTAATATAGGCGTTCTTCTTGCTCGTGAAATCCTGTGGCAACTCATGGGAGCCTCCAGTACAAGTTTGCTGGCTCTTGCGAATCGGCGCTAAGCGACGCTCGTCAACGCTCATCGACGCTAAATCGACGCGAGTCGACGCTTGTCGACGCTACATCGGCGCTAAATCGACGCTAATCGACGCTTGTCGACGCTACATCGGCGCTATTTCATCGATAGCCAGACGCTAATCGACGCCAGCGTACTGTAAAGACTGAAGTACGACGACATACAAGGCTCTCAGGATTTGTAACCGAGGGTCAAGTCTTCTTGGCGATATGTCAATGTGTTCTGGGATGGACTCATTCGCTTGGTATTGCCGATGGCTGCATTGTCGCCCCACGCGTAAGCTATAAAACGCAGGTGTCGCGGGTCGGTGTTGAGAATCTGTCTCGACAGAAATCGCCCCGTGGAATTATTTGGTCTAGGGCCGGGCTTTATGGTATCGCGGGAGGGGCGGGAGCGGGGCGTGTCTCGTTCGCCCTCTGCGGTAGCGTACCATTGAGTCGCATGGCGCAGCATTGGGCATTGGAGGGCAGCGCATAGCTTACACAAGCGACGGCAGCATCGCGACACCTTGCCAAGGACGGCATAGCACAGCACTGATTTGCACAGTATTGCGTGCCACAACATACCGCGGCATAACACGCAATAGCATTCCGTACCACAACAACATCAGACCGTATCGTCTATATATATATATATATAGAGATGTATGTGCGCTCAGGCAAAATACAGCACAACGTAGCCACGCAAATCATAACATCACCTAGCAAGGCATGTCGTGCAGCATCGAATGTCTTGCGTATCATAGCTTCGCGTGGCATCGAGGACCCAACCCAATTGCGTATCAAGGCAATGGGCTTGATTTCACCGCACAGCCAACCATGAAGACATGACACAATCACAACATGGTGCTGCAAGACCAGTCATACCGGAACGCTCGTTTCTCATGTGGTCGGTCAGATTCTGGCCACGGGTAGAACACGAGAGGTGAAGATGAATGAAGCTTGCAATGTGCTGCCCGCGGATAAGAAATGAGCACTCGGTACGCAATGTGGCATTATTACTCAGAGCGTTGCGTACCACAAACGCTAAATGGCCGTGCATTGTATATCACGTCCACGTGTCAGACACGGCTTAATCACCGACAAGCGCAATGTAGCAAGCCATGCCCCCTCTCCGTACTCGTCGTCCTCCCTCCTCCCGCCTCCTCTCTCCCTCCGCGTTCCTTTCAGATGCGTCCAAGTCACAAGAGAAGCCGAGTGTAGATTGCAAACATGGGCTGGTGGCTTCAAACGCAGTGAGGCATCACTGCATCCAAGGGCATGCGAGGTTATGAACTGCGACCTGTACTTCAAGCGGTTTTCCTTGGACTCGACCCAACAGCAGCTGACAGACCAGCGAGGGCGACTGCTCGGCAAACCGTGGTCGAATCCAGTGCCAGGCGCGCGGGGCACTTCCTGGTGGGTCAGAGCAAGCAGGCAGCGCTTTGTCACTGAAAGAAGCTCGATAAAGTCAGAGCGGACGCAAGTGCTGGTCATAAGCGTCAGTTGCACTCAATGTTTGGTACGCAGCTGCGTCGCATCAGGGGGAATAGCACCACTATGTAGATCAAACCACCGTGGGCGTTGTTGCACGACGGCGCTGGATACTCGAGCTCACCAACAAGGCACAAATGTCAAACTGTCGGGTGAATGCTGAGCTGAGTGCTTGCGGCTGTGAACGACGGCCAATGTGAGAGATATGGGCGCATGTAGTGGATACGCGTCAAGCGCTTCCAATTGCTGACAGGCTTAGTCACACTCTCGGTCCACTCAGTGCTGTCAGTGCTGTGATAGCTCCTTTACTTCAGTTCCAGTGGAAACCATGATCACGATCATCGCATTAGCAAATTCCTGAAGGTGGTGGCAGCAACGATGAGACCGTGGAATGGCAACTCCCAGATATCACAAGATACGGGATTCGTGTTGAGATTCTGGGCATTCGTTGTGACACCACTCGGCGGTCTCTTTGGAGGGAAGCGGCGAATATCTACTGTTACCAGGGCATGAAGGAATGAATCGGCAATACTTTGCATTGTGCCCTCTTGCACCAACACTTGGCTAAAACTCCCGAATGAGTAGTATGAATGGGCACGATGAAGGCGATTGTGGTTAGAAGCACGTTGCCTCGGAACCCGTTGCGAGGGGACGATCAGCGGGATCGTCAGTTACGGCTAACCCTGCGTTGACTTGAACAAGGCTCGGAACCTCAAGAATCCATATTTCCTATGTGTCGGAACTGCCCGCGAAATCACACGAAACGTGATTATGCTGAGTCAGACTGCTTCATGGGCAAAGATCGGCCTCCGGCAATCCGAATGCGTTGGGCTGGGAGGCCTGCGGCCAAAATTGTGAGCATAGCCTCCTTCGCCACCAGCCGACGAGAGATGGAAATTCGACGGCTCACTCGATTGCAAGACAAGCCCCTCAACATTCGCACACAAGACGCACACATCTATGTGCGCAGAGGTGCTGACGGGGGCCCAGACACGCTCAAGCCGTCGTTGTGTCGAATTGACATTATCGTCGTCCAGGTGTTATCTCTGTTCCCTTCTCGTACTGAAGTGATGAGCCAGTTTTCTCGACCAGGTCGGCGCGAGACGCTTGAGGTAGCTGGCGGTACTGTGGTGGCGGACACCAGGTTGTCTTTAGGCGTTCCCATCGTGTACGGGGGGTCAAGCAACTTCAACGGAATGGAACATGGCGGACATGGTTGCAGGCATATACCGTGAACGTAGGTTCATTATTCAAGGCACCGCTGGTGATTCAAGCACGCATCAGCAGGGTACTAGCATCACGCAGGACTGCCCACTGTCACCATATCTCTTCGTCATAGTTCGAGACGTGCTCTTTGACGTTGATGTGCGCATGGGAGGCGCGCTCCAGACAGTGCGAGAGCCGGATGTTACTCGGTGTTCTGATTTGCTGCACGCTGACGTCACGATGCTCATTAGCAGCTGTGCTGACCCTGCTGGATGTGATCACTGCGAAGGGGAAGCGGCCATGGGCAAGAACTGAGCTGGAATAAGAACGTCTTGATGAGGGATCGGAAGACCGACTCTCTCTCTGGGAGCTTCTGGGAGCTTCCTCCTCTCCCTCCTCCTCCTTCTCCTCCTCCTCCTCCTCCTCCTCCCTCCCTCCCTCCTCCTCCCCCCTCCTCCTCCTCCTCCTCCTCCTCCTTGGAGGTATTTCGAACAAAGCTTGCACTGCGAAGCCAGAATGCAATAGAACACTCGGTGAGGCCAGGGGGGTTCAATCATCTCTCTAACAATGTTGGTCGCATGCGGACATATCGGAAGCAAGGGAGGTATAGCTCTTTGTGTAAGGCACGAAAGGTGAAATTGTATCGAGTGAGTGTGGTGCCGAAGCTCTTGTATACAATGGAACATGCTTGGGCCCTTCAGGCCGGCAAAGACAGACTAACCATTTTCATGCGCAATGTCTGAGAAAAATCTGTCGCATTCCGTGCGCCTAAGTCTCTTGAGTTCCCAACCGCAGCGTTTTGGCAAAAAACGGAGAACACGGATTGACCGAGAAACTGCTCGAGCGCCTAAAGAGACTCTACGATTCAATCGCCGCACTTCCTGAGGAACACCAGCTGCGCAGACTCACGGGGAAAGCCAATTCGGACTTGCCTCGGAGCTGAGATGGGAACCGTTCCCGCGGGGAGGCCCAAACAGCAATGGACACCCAGCGTCTACACAGCGCTGCCCTGACGAAGGTGTGAGCTGCATGGGACGCCTGTGTTCTTCAGTGCCGATGCGCCGTCGAGGCGCCAGCATGTTGATTCTGGGGTCACGCTTTGCCTGAGTGTGCGCAGTCAACGGAAAAGGGCCTGCAGATGTCCGGATCAACCTCGAAAGAAGGGCTTCCCCGAATGGATGGTCGCGGGCAAGTGTCTCGCGGACGAGGCCGCGGAAGGAGCGGCCAAGGAAGGGCGAACGCCTGTCAAGAACAGAGCCACACTTGCAGAGCACGAGTCTGGGCAAGAGCTAGTACGACGGTGGTTGCTGCGTGCACATCTCGATGCGACCAGGCTCTTCCAAGACAGTTGAGTCGTAGATAGAGAACAAAATCCTCATTCCCATGCTCCCTCAATCGTGACGACTGAGCTCTGACCGCACACTGAGCCTATGAGCGAGGATGGCAAGCGTTGTGCAACATGTAACCGCTTCCCCCTGATAGTAAAGAGTCTGCAGGATTTGATCATGGAGAGGGGCGGCAAGGCCGAAGTTGATTGTCGCGGGGGGAAGTTGCGAATCGAAGTTGCGATTTTCTTATGTTGACTAGCAACATCATCAAAAACGCTGAACATGGTAACGCAGGTATCACGAAGGACCTCCCCTGCGCAGGCCACCTTTAAGCGCCATATTCGAGGATACCAAGGACAGTTTTTGTGCCAGTATCTAGTTACACGAGCGCCCAGGATCATCATCATCATCATCATCATCATCATCATCATCATCATCATCAGCATCATCATAATCATCATCATCATTGTCATCGTCAGCATCATCAACATCATCATCATCATCATCATCATCATCATCATCATCATCATCATCATCATCCGCCGGGAAAATCGTTCGTTACCCCCCCCCAGACCCCGAACTTGATCATCCCCAGGGGTTCAATAGCAGGGGCATGTGGTTGTGGGCTCGACGTCGCAGCACAGTTTGACTGCTTGCCTTGGGACAGCCTGCTTCAAGCTTAAGGCGATGGACGCGAACACAGACAGACACAGGACAGGAAAGGACGCTAAGTACAGTCGGGGCCTTGACCTCAGGAACGATACATAAGGAACGAAGCCCCTTTTCTACCCCAAGGAATAACGCACAAGGAACGAGAAATAATAAATGCCGCATAAGGAACGATAACTGACGCATGCAAACCTAAGGAACGACCGAGCCCCTTTTGAAAAGCAAGTGTTCCTTCTTCAAGCCGCTCACTGTACGTCCCGTGCGGGCGCGTCTGCGCACCCCCAGAGGCTGAGATGGATCCGCACGTCTGCTGACGGGCGCCCGCGGGGGCCCTGCACCCGCTCGGCTCCCGCTTCTGGACTCTCCTGGTGCCCGTCGACCGCCACTCGACTGCTCTGGGGCTCTGTTCTGCCGCTTGCTCTGCACGCCCGCTGTGCGGGGTGGTGGTGGTGGTGGCTGCAGACTGCTCATCGCCTCATGCATTGCCATTTCCAGACGGTTCGGCTCTGTGGAAGGTGAGGCTACTGCACATCGTCGCACACTCGGAGTCTCTGGAGGGAGTGCAAGCGTGAAGCTGCAGTCGGCACTCGAAGCTATGAGCGTAAAAGCTGTACTCTGGGCAAGGGTGTTGCCTCAGGCTGCGCCTGAGGCCTGTCTTCTGAGTTCAATACCGTCGAATCGCGACTTGGCCATGCATGTTTCCATGTCCTGCCGCACCCCGCCTGCACTTGCCCATCCTCTTCCCCTATCATTACCCCCCTTCCTCCTCCTCCTCCTCCTCCTCCTCCTCCTCCTCCTCCTCCGCCTCCTCCTCCTCCTCCTCCTGCTTCTCCTCCTTCTCCCTCTTCCTCGTCCTGCCTGCACCCAAGGGCGGACGCCTTCAGACCCGAATGGGCCGGAGTTCCCAACCATCTTGTTGTACAACTTCTCCTCCCAGCCGACCCCCCAGGCCCACCCAGGAGGAGTAGGAGAGGGGCAAGGGCGTGGTCGACGGCGGCGGCGGAGCAGGAGCGGCAGGAGCAGCTGCTCCTGGGGCAGCCGAGAGGTCCCCTTTCCCGTCGCCTCCTCCCTCCCTCCTCTGCCATCCCTGCCGTTCGGCCCCTCCCAGATGAAGAACACATCGCGGCGTAGCACACAGACCCTTGGAGGACCCCGCGGGCTTCTGGGATCGGCGCTGGACCTCCCCCCCCCGGCGGGCGGAGCCCCCCGGGGGCGGCGCCCGGAGGCGCCGCCAGGGAAGCCCAGCGCGCCGGTCCAAGAAATCCGCAGGCACCTCCGAACAAACAAGTTCTCCTCCTCCTCCTCCTCCTCCTCCTCCTTCTTCTTCTTCTTCTTCTTCTTCTTCCTCCTCCTCCTCCTCCTCCTCGTCCTCCTCCTCCTCCTCCTCCTCCTCCTCCTCCTCCTCCTCCTCCTCCTCCTCCCGAGCCTCGGGAGCCTCCTGGAACCTCTCGGCGGGCGCAGCCCCCTCCTCGGAAGACCGGCCCCGTGCTGGGAAGCGAAATGGACGGGAGCTCAGCTCCCTAAGCAGATCTCCTGCAGGGGCTCTGCCGTCGAGCACTCTCGCGCAGCGTGTCGCGGCGGCGGCCCCAGCGACACGCTGCGCCGTGCGAGCGGACATCGAGCGGACAGCGGTGGAGGCTGGGAAGAGCTCGGGTCGTTGTCGCTTGAAGCTGGGGACGCGAACAGCGCGTCGCGCCGCTGCGTGGCGTCGCGCCGCTGCGTGGAGGGCCAGAACAGGCAGCGAAGCTAACATTCCCGACCGTACGGAGTGCATCTAGAAGCACACATCAACGAAGCAATATTGGAGGAACAAGCGGCATCGAAGAACGTCCCTGCTGTACACTATACATCTGGGGAATGGATTGGTGTTGGATGCGCTCCTCCGACTTCCCACGCCCGGTGAAGGAGCACGGGCGCCCGAAGATCGGTGGCCCCCCGTGCCCACCCCCACCCGTGCAAGTGCGTGGGGCCATCGGGTGCATTCGGCCGCAAGGGTCTCGCGTCTGCTGAGAGGAAATTGTAGGTGCATGCCTAGAGAAAGAAGATACGCCATAAACCATAGACATGAACTTGTGGCGCTCCGCGCGGATTCTTGGATCTGAGCTGGACTCTCCTCCCTGGCGCGCGGAGCGCGCCAGGGGCGGCGCTGGAGGCGCCGCCAGGGGGGCCCAGCGCGGATCCAAGAAATCCGCGCGGAACACCAAAAGTTTATGTTTACGGCGATTTTCTTCGTCGAGCCGTAGTCGTGTTTTGGCCCGAGAAAGCTAAGCCAACGAACTCACCCCTGGGTTAGGCAAGTCCGAGGCGAGCCGAGCATCCGTGTCAAGGTGCGCCCAGACGCATCGTCATATTTATAACAAACATCACTATAATCAAACATCATCATCATCATGATCATCATGATCATGATCAAATGATCCTTTTTTTCTTTTTTTTAGCGCACGATCTTCGTTTTGTCTTGGTTTCCCAAAGCAAAATGACACCACAGATGAGGACAAATACGCGTCTCAAATGCAACCTCTTTGTTGCACCGTACCGAGCACACCATGCCGCTGGACCCCTTTCAAAAGCAGGGAGCAGCAGAACACGGGTGGCACTACATATGAGGAATAAAACGCGTCTCAAATGCAACCTCCTCCTTGCACCATGCCGGGCACTCCATGCCCCTGGACCCCTTAACACAGCAGGGAACAGCAGCACACGGGTGGCACTACAGATGAGGAAAAATTTGCGACTCAAATGCAACCTCGTTGTTGCATTTGTCTGAGGGGGGGTGAGGCAGAGGCAGAGGAGGAGGAAGCGGGGCGGGGAGGAAAGAGGAGGGGGGACAGCCAGACAAATTATTGAAATCAGTAGACCATCCCAGCTCAGATGTTCTATAAATCGAGCACGCTGAACTATAGAGAGCGTGCCAGAAAGCCCCAACGGCGGGAGACTGGCAAGGCACAGAGTTGCACCCCAATGGCAACTGATAGAGTAAGTGGTGGATGAGGCTGTCCACACGGACGTGCCGCGTGGAGGCGGCTGGCCAGCGAAGGCAGCGCGGGCTAGCAACGGCTCCCGGGAGGGAGGGAGCGGCCGACAAGACCGGGCGGCACGTCAGTGGCCCACCCCCGCGTGCAACCGGCGCAAGTGCCAATTCTTCGCACAAGAGCGGCCACCCCGGCGCACTCCGTGCCACGTCCCGCGGAGAGGAGGAGGAGGAGGAGGAGGAGGAGGAGGAGGAGGAGGAGGAGGAGGACGATTTTGCGCTCCTGTCGAGCGGCCTGGGCCTTAGCGGCCTCCAGTGCCCCGCCAGCTAGGCTGCCCCGTGCGGGTCCGGAGGCCCCTGAAAACGGAGGAACTCGCACGAGGCGGAACTCGCATCCCCTGCCTCGAATGCCACCCCCCGGCGGTGGGCGGACAGAGCGTGCCCCCCTGGGCCTCCGCAGCCGCGGATGGACCTGCCGGCGCGGAGCCGCCGATCGGCGCCACGATTCGGAGGGAGAAAGACGAAGCGGAGGGAACGGAGCGGAACGCGCGGGAGGAGGAAGGAGGAATCGGCACTACAATCATCATCGGACAAGTTCTCGGAGTTTCAGCCTCAGTGCGTTGCGGCACTCAAACGGCCCGCTGGCGGCCGAGTGGCGGGCCCAACAGTGCGTGAGGTACACCCCGCACGTGGCCAGAGCACGGCGTCGCAGCGCTGGCGCAGTGTCCTCGGAGTACGCCGGCTCGAGCAGCAAGAAGCTTGCCAGGCGTAGTTCTGGCGTGGTCGGGCGCGCGATGCCCACTTCGCGATACACTGCTGCAGACACGTGTGCGCACTCTGCGTAATGCTCGATGGAATCTTCCCCGGCTGCGCAGCCGAAGTAGCACGCCGACCGCGCCTGGAAGCGGCGGCTTGTGACCCAGCCATTCCAGAGTGACCGGATGCAAGCGGCCAGCGCCCGCGGAGGGCACGTCCGGGCCACCGCGGGGAGCGTCGTCAGCACCCTGTCCACCATGGTTCCCACGGGCAGGCCGCTCTCCCACCGCGATAATCTCACCTGCAGAAAAGCACGCAGCTCGGGAGAGCGATCTGGAGCGATCATCCGCGTGCAGGTGCGCTGCCAGACCCTGCGCTGTCGATCGCTGCTGCTGACCCCCGTGGCGCGGGCCACTCGCGAGTGCGTCAGACCGCGCGCCTCGAATGATCGCCGGGCAGCGTCCAGCTGGAGGACGAACGCCTGGTCGAACCATGGGCCCCAGGCGCCGAGGCGCTCCAACGACTGGGAAGAGTACAGCCGCGCCTCGCGAAGCCGGGCAGCCCGCTCGGCCACGCGGAGACCGCCCTCCGAGGCCGCCTCCCACCGGCATACCCGGTATTTCGACGCCAGGGCCACTGCGGGGAGATCTGGAAGAGAAGCAGGGAATCCCAGAAGCGGCAGGCCGTGCACGGCGGCTGGCGGCGCCCAGCGGAAAGGGCCAGGGTAAAGAAACTGCATCGCGTCGGCCTCCAGTTTTGGCCACTGCGCCGGTGGGGCGTCCAGTTGCGCCAGGAAGCTCCAGGTCGAGAATGCATACACCGAGTAGGCCACCGTGTTCGTGCACATCCCGCTTCCGGAGCGGCCCCACTCCTGCGCCCGCTTCTTGAACTTCGCGCAAGCGGCGTCCCAGCCGTGCTCGCCGCGACTCGGTCCCAAGACGAACCCGAGATATTTTGCAGTGCGCAAAACGCACTCCGCCCCAGGAGGGCGCGCCCGCCGCGACGGCGGCGCGCGCGGCTTCGGGGTCGCCGGTCCGGAGCGGCACCCAGTAAGTCTTGCCGATGTTCAAGCGGAGGCCCGAGATGGCAGCATATTCGTCGAAGAGCGTCTCGAGCAACCCGGCGGCGGCTGCGCCCTGCGGGATGACCAAAGCCAGATCGTCCGCATAAGCGCGCCGCACTGCTGTCGGAAACTCCCTGCCAAGGCGCCGCAGGAGGAGGTCGGCGGCCACGGCGAAGAGCAGCGGGGACAAAGGGCAACCCTGCCGTATGCCCGCAGTAACTGGAAAGCCGTCGTGCAGGCCTCCTCCAACAACCAGCTGGCACTTGTTGTTGCAGTACAGCGCGCCCACGTAGTTCAAGACAGTCGTCGGGAGCCCCGAGTCTGCGAGGACCTCTAACAGGAACTCTTGACTCACGCTGGGGAACGCCGCAGCGAAGTCGAAGAAAACTGCCGCTCCGTCCGGCGCCGTGAGCGCGGTGACCTGCATTGCCTCGTCGACGTCTACCACGTTGGCGAGCAGAGACCGTCCGCCGACAAACCCGCGCTGCTCTGGGGAGACAGACTGCGCGAGGAGTGGTTCGAGGCGGTGGCGGACAGCCCCAGCCAAAAGCCTGTTGTCCGTGTTGACGAGGCTGACAGGCCGGGTGTCGCTGGCGGCGTAGTGAGGGACCCCGTCGACCCCTTCTCCGGTCGCCGTCTTTGGCAGGAAGACCATCAGGCTGTCGTTGTAGCTCGGCAGATCCCTCATGATGGCTTCGTTCGCTCCTGGGCTGCTCAGCTGCGTGTAGGCGCCGTGTAAAACCTCCACGGCCAGCGGGCCGAGCCGCTTCCAAGCTGCGAAAGGCAGCCCATCTGGGCCAGGCGCGGTGGACGGCGCGTGGTCCAGCGCGTGCCGCACGTCTTTCGGATCATGATGATGATGATCATGATCAAATGATGATGACCACGTGCCGCGTGCCGCGCCGTTGATGATGATCATGATCAAATGATCCTGATCATCATCAACATCATCACCATTATCATCGTCAGCATCATCAACCTCAACAACATGATCATCATCATCGTCGTCATCATCATCATCCGTATCAGCATCATCCTCATCATCATCAACAACATCCTCATCATCAGCATCATCATCAAGAAATATCATCATCGTCAGCAACACCTCATAGAGAAAAACCTCGAACCTCGATTCCTCAACCCTCAATCAGATGACAGTCCTCGACACAAAAAAAACTAGAATTCCTCGACCCTCGACCGGAGGACATTTCTCCATCCGAACTTACGTATGCATCTGACCGTCCGAGGCTGCCGTGCCGACGGCCGCCAGGGCAGGGCCCCCTTCCCCAGCCTGGACCCAGTCGCACCTCTGCCCCGTGATGCTCTGCACGCGCGAGACCTCTCGGGCTGACGGAGGCTGACAAATGGCTCGCTGCAGGAAGCTGAGCAGGGACCGAATTGCAATTGCAATCTTCCTGTAGGCCTGCCACGGGCTTTTTCTTATAACAGAGACTGGCCCAACATAAAACAATGTTCCCAGAAAAACGATGTCTTAACTCCAAACTCTCACCCAGAGGGCAGACAGACTGCTCTAAACGCATAACCGCGGGCAGTGATTAGAACACGCTTGGTGGGCCTATGGGCAGACCAAGACGTGCCGCCACTGCTTGACAGAAACCCTGAATCCAAAAACGTATGCATATCTTGGGAGGGCAATATTCAACGAGTTGTGCCTCAACTGGCTTCTGCCAGCCTTGCGCAGGCAGACCCTCCACCATTTTCACTTCCGCCGTCTTTCGCCGAGGACGAGAAGGCGACCTCTCGATTCGTCGAATGCGATGCCACTTCGGGGACGCTGCATGAATGCACGCGCCCTGATTCTCCTCGAGAGCAGCCAGGACAAGCAGATCGATGAATCGGGCTGCCCTCTGGAGGCCCATGCCGATCACGCGTTGTGTGGACAAACGAGCACGTCGAGTTAAGTACAAACGGCTTATGCCGCGTTCCCCTCAGGCAGCCGAGCCGCGCTGAACAGAGCTCACCTGTACTGACCTGGGCCCAACTGGGCCGGCACGAACTGAGATCGGCCGAAATAGACTGAGCAGGACTGAACTACACCGAGCTGGGTGGAGGTGGCTTGGGGCGCTGAGCTTGTCGCTGGCGATGAGCATGCGCCGGATCTGAAAACGTTCCCGCAGACAAGAGCGGCATCGACCACTCCACTGCAGGACGGCGCGCTGTGCGATAAAAAAACTTGAAACGCCCGCCCACCGGGCCAGAGGCGTGCTAAGATCTCCGGTAACTGGTTAACAATATATTCTAGTTCGCGCGGGCGGGGCGGCTTCTGGGGGCTCCCGGACGAAAAGTACCCCGAGCAGGTCCCGGCTAGTGCGGCTCAGAGATGGTTTTCCTCCTCGGCGCTGCATTGCAGGCCTCCCAGAGCGCTCCAGGAACGCGCCAAGAAGGCTCCGAGACGCTCCCGAGACGGTCCAAGGGGCCCCGAGTCGCCGAAAGATTGCTCCAAGACGCCCATGCTAGTCTCCTGACGGCCCTAGACGCCGCCGAGAAGCTCTAAAAGAGCCTCAAGAGGCCCTCCAAGAAGGCCCAAACAAGCAAACATCGCCCCATGTCCTCGGGAAAACGTGCGTTTCTGTCATAGACGACGTTCGGAGGTTCACAGCGTCCAAGACTGCCCAAGAGCCCCCCAAGATCGGCCCAAGATGGCCCAACATGCCCCCAAGATGCGCCCAAGCGGGCCCAAGAAGCACCCAGAAGTCTCAAGAAGCCCCCGAGAGGCCCAAAATCTGGCCCCCAGGTACCCAAACGGCCCTGCCGAGGCCTCAAGAAGCTTCAAAACTGCCTCCAAAAGGCTTCCGCGACACCTGCCAGGAGACCCCAACACCGCCGCATCAAATGCCCCCTGCGCCCCATCGACAAGCCCCAGAGTGAGCATCCACGACCAGCAAGCCCCCAAGGCACCCGAAGTCCAAAAAAGCACCACACAACAAGCCGCCTCGAGAAAAGCGAATGATTGCTCTGACAACTCCCAAGAAATCCAAACGAATCGCCACAGCATCATGCTCCACGCAACTCCTCAGAAAACAGCCGACGCCCTGCAGCTCAGCACCGCCAACGACCACTCGGCCAGTCGACGCAGCAGTGCCCAAATATGGGCCGGCGAAATGAGCGAAGCGATTGAATGATGATGGTGTAACCTCCTTAATTAGGCGCCCCAGGCCTCGTGTGTGCCCCCGGGGCCACCCAGGAATGAGACAATTTCTTGGGGCGCCAGCTGGCAAGTGAGTTCCATACTTGAATTGCCTACCGTACCAAATACTGTCCAGCGGACTTGGCAAGAGATGAGCGAACGCACAAGCCTGCGAGCGAGCCTAATCGCAACACCCTTTGGATTGGCCAATGAGCTGGCCTACCGATCGGGATTCCACGGCCGATGGGCCTCAGCTGAGCTCGAGACCAAGGCGGCGGCCACCGCCTTCTGCTGCTTCGAGCTCATCTTCTTGTCGTCGAAGAAGCCAACTTTGGTTTCGACCTCCGCGCGGAGCGTGAGACGCGACAAGATGATGCAAACGGCCGCCAGGAGCTTGGCCATGCTGGGGCTGCGATCTTTCCTCAGTGATGGCATATATATATACATATATATATATGTATAGATATAGAAACACAGAAAACAAAAGCATAGACATAAACTTGCGAATGCCGACGCGGATTCCTTGGATCTGCGCTGGACCCCCTCCCTGGCACGCGGAGTGCGCCGCCAGGGGGGCCCAGCGCAGATCCAAGAATTCCACGTGGACCTTCGAACGTTTTCGACGAGGGCATTGGGTAAGGAACCGTGGGGTGAGGAACCCAGGGTCTGGAAGCCGATCGAGCTCCCATCGTGGAGCGACCAGGGATATCACCGCCGCCCTCATCAGGCAAGGACTCTCCCAGGGTCTGAAGCCCCCTGGCGCAATCCTTGACGAACGCGAGGAGGAGGAGGAGGAGGAGGAGGAGGAGGAGGAAGAGGAGGATGAGGAGGAGGAGGAGGAAGGAGGGAGGAGGAGCACTGTGTGCCTCTCTCGACTCTTCGACAGCAGCTGTGCGGTCCAGCAGCGCTCCCGCGGTCCTCGCCAGCGTGAAACGGCCCGCTGCCGGTGCACCTCCCGCTGCCAGCGCTGCTGCCGGGCAGATCTCTCTGGGCGTGCTGGCTCGCTTCCCGAGGCGCCTGCGGTCAACGGAGGTCGGGGCGACTCAGTGCTTTGCTTCGAGCACGGCGGGCGCGGCCCCCCTTCTGCGGGGGCCTCTCGAGGCAATGCTTGCGAGGACACCGCCGCTCGCAGTGGTGACAAGTGGCCAGCCTCCCCGCTCACTGTGCGCCTCCTCGTTCTCCTCGCTGACTTCTGCCTAGGCCCCCGCGACGAATACAATGAATGGCCCCTGACAGTGCTTAGAGTTCTTTGGGGACCATTTGTAAAAAGGCCGATGTCTCGCCACCCGAAGGGCAAGCTGGAACATGTCAGGGCAGCCTGGAGTGCCAAAGTCAAAAGGAATCATGTCCTGCCATCCGTCTCACCCCAGCATCCTTTTGCGTCACGCCCTGACCTACCTAAAGATTCGCAAACACCATCCGAGATATCCAAACGAATTCAAACCACATGACAAACCATGAGCTTTACAACCCCCCCTCACGCAAAAGCCCACCCATGAAATATACACGCCCAACAGCGTTGCATTCCCGCTCGACACACCCGGCGTGTTTGACCAATAGGGTACAATTCCTATAGGAAGTCCGATGCTGATAGCACATGATTGTTTGTGGGTGCGCTGCATGGGCCCTGGGAAATAACGCAATGTATGCTTTCAATAGGAGGCCAAACTGGCGCAAGTGGCGCCCTGGGGGGGCGCGCGACTAATGATTTTTCGACGTGCCATATCGCAAAATGGGTTTCTCTTAGAGGCCTGACCAACTTTTGAGAACCATGTTGGTGCATCTATTCATTTTATTCCCCCGACGACACGGACCTGCCGTGGCGCATCATCCTGTCGCCATTGGGCAGGGACGGGTAACACCGCGAGGAGGTGGCATCAGGCCTCTCCGCGGATGTGGCGTGGCGATCCCGACGACCCCCGTGACTTTAGAGCCTAGCGCTTATGGCGAACCGATGAAGCTCCTGCTGTGGAGCGCTTCCCCTCTCCACGAAACTCGCCATCGCTCGGACGTCCATTCCCTGTGTTTTTTTCGGTTTCGTGCGTGGCTTTTTCGCCAAATGATCAAGGATGCTCCTCGATGGCCCTCGCCGAGAAGAAATGCACACGTCCGAGCGATGCCAGGGAAACACGACGCCCACTTTGCCGACTCCAGAGGCCCCGAACCCACAACTAATGACGCCTGGCGTCTCCTGGCACCGACCTCCAGGTGGGCCTCCTCCTCCTCCTCCTCCTCCTCCTCCTCCTCCTCCTCCTCCTCCTCCTCATCCTCCGCTTCCTCCCCCCACTCCTAGCCCTTTCGATCAGAGTCGGCGGCACCGGCCGTCAGGCCTCTCCAATAATGACGCCTGGCGTCTCCTGGCGCCCACCTCCGGGTGGCCCTCCGCCAGCGGCACCACCACCGCCTCGCTCCCGCCGGCCTCCGACGAGGGCCATGCCGCGCCGAAGGCGAGGCCCCTCCTGGAGCGCCCCCACGCCTCTCCGGTGGAGCGCGCGTCGCGGCAGTCACGGATGCCGCGCACGAGGAAGGAAAGGATCCTGCTGCGACTGGGCGGTCCACCGCGCAGGCACTCGACAAGGGACAAGGAAGCACCAAGACCGGAGAGGAGCGGCCGAGAAGCTCCCGTCGTGGGGAAGGACGGCGTGCGGGGCAGAGCTGAAACCCACGAGAAGGCCGCACAGAAGGGCAGCTGCTCTGCCGGTTAGTGCCCCCTCCCCCTGTCCATTGTTCGGCCGCTGCCCCCGGCTCGATCTCGACTGCCCGGCGGGAATGAGATGGGCCAAGCAGCCCTTAGCCCCTGCCCTCGACTTATATCTGAAGTCCGCGGGACCGGGTGATCCAAGACGGTGAGGCGCCGGTGCAGCGAGCAGTGGGGTGCGCCAGGAGCGGATTCAGGAGGCACGAGGCGAACGAGAACAGAGCACGGGAATGGCAGAAGAAAGCGCCCGCTCAGACCACGAGAGCCGGCGCCGGGATGCCGTGGCAGATCTGGCAGCCTGCGCCCGAGCAGCGGAGGCCGAAGAACATCCTCAAAGTGCACACGACGTTGGCTTCCGTGGATTTGTTGCATTATTTGTTGTTTTATGTGTTTGTTGCTGTTTTTTTCTTGTTTGCTCAATTGTTTTAATGACTGTTTTAATCGTTGGCTCCCGTGGAGAATGATTGTTCTAATCGTTGGCTCCCGTGGAGCTGGCCCGGCTTTCTCCCTCCATCGACCGCCGCACGCCAGTGTCGGCGCAGCGCGGGCAGGCGACCGCCCCGGCCCGCGCCCATGCACCAGCCAGAGGCCGTGTGCACAGAGGGGCTCCGCGGTTCAGACTCGGGGGTCCAGCCTGCGTCCCGTCGGCACCAGGATGGCACACAGCTTGCAGCAACGGGCGGTCCAGAAGGAACATGCCAAGTCTCTCAAGCAGGCTGCGAGGAGGCCTTCCTCCACCACGAACCTCCCCTCATTATCGGCCTCCTCCGCCCTCATCCCACCCCCTGTCCTCGAAACATCAAAAGCCAGCATAAACATAATTGTGAGGAGGCCCGCGCGGATGTCTTGGATCGGCGCTGGACCCCACCCCCGGCGTGCGGTGCGCGCCAGGGGCGGCGCTGGAGGCGCTGTCGGGGGGGCCCACTCCCATCCCCCAAAACGCGCAGACCTCCGAAAGCCTACAAAAGAAGCTCGACCACAAGAAACCTTCCACAAAAAGCCCAACCCTGGAACCCCAGGACCTCCATTGCTGTGTGGTACAGGAACGTAACGAACCCCATAGCGAAACCATCTAAACCCAAGAAACCCAGGGCACCCTGGAGGCAAGCAGGGTGTATCGTGGCATGGGTGTCCACTGTATGCCCACTCGTTCACGCCGTGTTTTGTTTTTGTTCGATCGCCCCCCCCGATAGGAAAACCGAAGCACGACAGGTGTTATGTTTCTTGGGCGAAATATTTGTCCGGTAGGCTGCTTTCGGCCTGTTCTAGCCGTTGTATTGTTTGTACTGCTTGTTGCGCTGCAGTGAACTCTTGGTCGAAGGGTGCTTGTGCTTGTGCACGTTGTGCTACGTGCGTACTGTTCATCATGGCTCTGGTGTTGTTGTGCGTACCATCTGGATTGTCGGACTTTCTTTGGTATACTTTGCTCAAGCGAGTGTATTTGTTGTTCGGCCATGCTCATGTAGGGTCCGTCCATGTGTGCCTGTGTTTCTTGTTGTAGTCTGTAGTGCTGCTGGATTCGCGGGATTGTATCATACAGTCGTTCTTCGATTGCCAGCTCTGCTCTCAGTAGGTCATGTGCGTAGCTGTCGTTTTTTGTGAGTCGTTGATCGTGTCGTGGTATGTGTTGTTCTCTTACTTATTGTCGTAGCTCTGCGATAACGGCATCTGACTGATTGTGCCCTGCTTGGTAGATTCAGCGTGTCGTGGCGTAGTGGTCATTCTGCACTTGTAGGTACTTGAGCTGCGCGAAAGAGTGAAGTGTTTGTTCTGTGAGGCTCTCCAAGTGCTGCTGGCTTTGCTCGTTCTGTCCTGTCGCGTGTCCAGAGTATGGTTGTGCTGCTTCTTCTTGCCGCGTTGATGTTGCTTTGGCAGCTTGTATGCGTAGTTATGCGTGTCGTGGTGCGTGGTTGTGCTCTCTTGTCTCGTGGTAGTCGTTGGACAAATGGTCGTCTGCTTCTTTTCGGTGTAGTATGGTCACGTCTGCTGCTCGTAGGTGTTGTTGTGCTGTGATTTCTTTGTCTACGTCTTGCTGAGCTGCCCTTAGCTCTGCAATGGTCCAGTCGTTGGCTAATAGGTCGTCGTACGCTGCTTTGAGTCGTGCCTTGAGCTTATGTGTCTCTTGGTCAGCTGTGGTGCTTGGGTTGGCCGTTTTGAGCGGTTCTAGTGGTGGTCGCTCCTTAGGGTATGTGCCGAGCTGTACGTCTTGTGCTCGTGATTGTGGGCTGGGTGTGTGCTGTCTGTTGTCGACCAGCTCCCTCTCGACATTGGCGTAGAGATTGGTCTTGCGTATAGTGTCTTCGTTTTTTCTTGAGCTTGCTTCAATGTTGCTGCTGCAACGATTATGCATGCTGCGAAGTCGTGTTTAAGCTGTCGGGTGTACTGTAGATGTTATGATTCGGGTTTTTGGTCCAGTAGCTGTCTTTGGTGACTGCCAATTCGTGTCGTAGTTGGTCAGATTCTTGGCCCGCGCTGTCCGCAGCCAATATTTGGGTTGCGAGCTTTCGCAAGGCCGCGAATTTTGACGTGCTCCATGCTCGCACTTCAAATGGTGTGGCTCCAGGCCTGTCTTTGTGAAAGACGTCGTTCTGGTAGGAGGTATGCTTCTGGTATGCTGTCGATTCATGCATGATTCTCTCGTGTGGTGTACGCTGTATGTTCGGAATGGATTCCGAAGCTTGGTTGCGGTACATGATCGTTGTTCCGTGTTGGTGGAGCTGGTGGTTGTTTTGGTGTGGGTCCTGGAGTGGAGGTCCTCTGTGGCCGGTGCAGCTGGTGGTATGTGGCCCCTGTTTGCTGCTGGTAGGGTGGTTGTGCTGTGTAGTTCGGATCATGCTGAGCTGGTTCAGTGTGACCATTGTGCCCGACCGACAGGCTGCCAGCTTGGACCTGTGCCTATGTTCAAGTTTTGTCGCTGGTGGTGCTTCCCCTTGCCTTTGCCTTTGGCCTGGGGGGCTTGTGTAGTTGTACATTGTGTCGGCTGCTTGTGGCGGTGGTTGCTGTGCGCTGTGTCGGTTGAGTAGTAGCTGAGCTGGTTGGGGCTGCTGGTGTGTCGGTTGGCCGAGTAGGGTTCGCGCTGAGGCTACTCGTAGAAGTGTGCGTGCTGCTGCACGTTTTGCCCTCTCTCTGCGGTGCCAGGCAAGTTGGGAGAAGTCAGCGAAGTCGTTGGGCTACTGCTTGCACAATGCTGCAGTGTGGGTGGCGTCGTTGGCAAACATGGCCTTGTAAGTGGTGCTCGTAGTGTGGGCGTAGGTTCTTGGGCGTCGATGCCGTCGTGAATGTGGTGAGGTCGGAGACTTGCCCAGTCGTAGATGCTCCTGTGGACGTTGTCCTGGATGCAGTGGGGTCGAGGACTTCTGCGCTCGGGATGTAATCAGTGAGAAGGAATGAGGAATGCAATCGATGAGAAAGATTTGGGAAGGTATGTGTGACAGATGAGAGAACTGGTTCGCGTAGCCGTTCGAACGGCGCACTGCCACCGACACGCCTCAATCGCTTGGCGGTTCGTGGCTTCCTCCTCCTCCTCCTCCTCCTCCATCCCTTCATCCTCCTCCATTCCTCCTCCTTTGAATGACTTCTCCCTGTCGCACCCCGAGGCCAAATGTTAGGGCGGTCCGGGCGTTTCGCCTGAGACTTCCTCACCATTGATGACCCTGAAGCTTAAGCAATGACAACAGTTTCACACATGGAGGGCTGGTCGTTTTCAAGATGTGGTTCTCGCCTCAGCGCCGCGTACAGTCGTTGTAAACAGTTGCACGAGCTTCACGGATTGAGGGCGGGCCGTGTTCAAAATGTGGCTCTCGCCTGAGCGCCGCGCACATTCGTGTTAAACATGTGCAAGAGCCTCACGGATTGAGGGCGGCTCCTTTTCAAAATGTGGCTCTCCCCTTAGCGCCGCGCGCATTCTTTTTAAACATTCGCAAGAGCTTCACGGTTTGAGGGCGGCTCCATTTCAAAATGCGGCTCTCGCCTTAGCGCCGCGCACATTCGTGTTAAACAATTGCAAGAGCTTCACGGATTGAGGGCGGGTCGTTTTCAAAATGTGGCTCTCGCCTGAGCGCCGCGCGCACTCGTTTTAAACAGCCACAAGAGCTTCACGGATTGAGGGCGGTTTCTTTTCAAAATGTGGCTCTCGACTGAGCCCCGCGCACATTCGTGTTCAAAAGTTGCAAGAGTTTCACAAATTCTCATGATCAGCGTACCAGACATGCTGTCTTGGAGTGATTCAGGATGCTGAGGCTGCAACAGTCACGTTGGCTCGCGGTGTTGGAGTCCCAGGAATGGTGACACGATTCAGGATCATCAAGACGCAACCGTCAGGTTGATCCGTGGCGTTGGAATCCAGAGAACGATGTTCTGGCATGCGTCAGGGTCTTGAAACAGTTGCTTTCCAACGAGGCAGTTCCCTCAGTGGAGATGAACCCTTGTAGGGGCCCCAGAAGAGGGAGCTTGGAGGGAGGGTTTATTCCAACATCGTTGATGACTCTTGGGTTTACACTGGTCCTCCTCTTCCCCCTTCTCCCTCCTCCTCCTCCTCCCCCTCCCCCCAGAAAGCAGCCGGGCGCCGCTGCCTCCTCGGCAGCCTTGACGCACTGCCTGCCTCGCGGATGGGGTGGCGGGGGGTCTGCCAGCGGCGGTTGGGTCCTAGAGCCCAGACCCTCTCGAGTCATGACAAAAATCACGACGGAAGGCTTTTCGCTATTTTCCGCGCGCCGCGGTCCTCGGCGGGACCGTCCGCGCCCCCTCGAGGCCGCGCCTGCGCGGCTGGCGCCGCGCACGCACAGCAGCAGCAGGCCCGACGCGCCCCCCGGCCCAGGCGGCAGAGGCCCGCGGCGCGGAGGGGAGGCTGCAGGCAGTGCCCACGGGAGGCCTCCCTGATTTATGTCGGGCGTGTCCCCCTACAGGGGGATTTTCGACGAAAAATGCAAAATACCCCGAAAATGCCCCAGAAAGGTCAAACAGCATTCAAAAAATAATCCCCGGACTATTTTCGGACTATGTTTTGACTATGTTCGGGGTACTTTTTATTTTTCGTCGAAAGTCCCCCTGTAGGGGGACAGACCCGACTTAATCCCAGATCCCAGACCCCCTCGAGTCAGGAAAGAATCACGACGGAAGGATTTTCGCTACTGTCTTCCTCTGGGGGGCCTTCGCCAGGACCGCGGGGCCGTCAAGAAACGACTCGGAATGAAAAGCCGGTCCCGGGGAAGGGGTCGAGACCTCTGGGGGTCGACGCTATGAAAAAATCATGGCGTCGAGGGTCTGGGGGCAGAGGGTGGTGGTGGAGGCTTCGATGCGTCGGCGGTGCGGCGCAGTTCTCTCCCATTTGCTCGCACCCCATCTGGGAAGCCTCCGTCATATGCGCCACGGGGTCGGCGAATCTTCCAGCCTTTCCGCAGATGCACGGCCCAACGCTGACCATACGCAGGAAGTGGTTGCGGGTGTGCCGTCCGCTGCTCTCTCGCCTCCTCGGGATCGCTGCAGCGCCCTGCCACCGGATGAGCACTCTCTGATGGGAATCTGCTCCGCCGGGATGCCCGGCCGTTTCGGCTGGCGGCCTGTCTTAGGGTGGGGGCGCGGACGAGGTGCGAGGCGTAGGAGGAGTCGGAGGGAGTCGGAGGGAGGAGAAGGGATAGGGAGGCGGGACGAGGATGGTTCTGGGAAGGTTTCCTTGGTTCCAGGGGGTTTAGGGCTGTCAGCGGGACTCTATGATTCTAGTGGGCACCTCCCGCCCCAAACGCTCTCCGCACAGGCAGGCATGGACTGGCGCGCGCATTTGAATGTCACCAGATGGGCACACTCATGGCCCCCGAGGTGCTGGAACCCCATCGAGCTCCCCACACGAAGCCGCGCTGAGTGGGTCCAGGGTGTCGTCTTCACTGCAGCAGAACTGATCGCGCACCTTCTTTATTCGCGGCACCCCAGGCAAGTGGCTGCCTGGCGGCATCTGAACACACACGCAAACGATCTGCAGGGGGAGGCAGCAGCGGGGAACGGAGAAGGGGAGGACAGTGGAGGTAGTTTTGGGGGTGGCAGGGAGAAGGTCAAGGTAGTGTGGGGGAGGGAGCCGGGATACAGAGAACTAGAAATGGTGGGGGAACGGGAGGGCATGCTCTCATACAGTACAGATCCCCACCTCCAGATGACACTGAGAGTCCTGGCCCCCGAGCTACCCCCTTCCTCCTTCCCCCTCCCCCCTGGCCCAAGCTTCCTCCTGCACCCTTTACCCTTTGCACGACTTGCGGAGAAATGCGCGCATCCATCGATCCTGAACTCGCTTGCACCAAGTCGCGGTAAACTATGAGTGGCACGGTAGCAGAATACTGTAAACATGGATTCGTGCTTCAAATAGCGCCTGTGCGTTGGAACATATTGGTAGAACAGGGTTCACCATGTACGCGCGTTGACGTTGATAAGAAGTTTGACGAACCAAGCTGAGCTGAGCACTGTATCGGTGTTTCGCACATGTGAACATAGCGTGGACAAGAGCTGCCAAAGCTGGAATAGGTTACGAAGTTTGCACACCCACGCACACACATCGGCAAGACACATTATGGAAAGTCAAGCGTGTACTAGTCATACTGCGCGGCAGACAGCAACCAGTACTGTAAACAACTCAAACATGCACCACCGTGCCGCGATGTGACGCGGATGGCATTCAGAAGCACTTACCGGCTCTATGGGTGCCTTCTCAGAGCGAGTGAGGTACCTCTTTGCGAACTCTTGGGGCATTTTGGGTCGTGGAGGGCCTATTTGGGGCCTCATGGGGCCTCTTAAAGCCATTTTGGGGCTCTCTGGAGCGTGGAGGAGCCAGGTGAAACTCGCAGCAGCCTGACGGTCGCGCGGAGGACGTGGGAGAACGGCTGGCCGCGCCGAGACCGTGGCGAGCCGGGCCTCGAGTCTGCGCGACGGCGGAGCGTTGCGCCTGGCGCACGCCCTCCCGAGATACCTGGAGGTGCGAGTGTCTCTGCTGCGCGTCCGTTGGAGGGTGGGGGGGGGGGGGGCCGAGCCCGAAGCCAGGCGTGAGGTGCCACCAGCGGGAAGTCGTTTCGCTGCGTTCGTGAAGTCCGTGGGGGCGAGGCGAGGCGAAGCTGCGCGAGGTCTCCTGGAGAGCCAGCCTGCTGGGGGGCTCCCGGCACGCGCTCCTCCCCGCTGCGGGAGGAGGCCTGCCCCTCGAACGGCGCGAGCAAATCCACCGCGGGAAGACCTGCACTCCGAACGGGTCGCCCCAGTCCGCCCCCACAACCGAAACACAAACTTGCCCGTCCCGTGTAGCCCTTGGCCGAGCTCCCTGTGGGGCCACGAAGCGGGTGAGAGGTGTGCCGACATGGTTGGCATGCTGGAGCCACAGGTAAGCGTGGGAGCAGGGAGGGGGGAGGAGGAGGAGGAGGAAGGAGGAACACGGAGTGCTCCTCCTCAAAACGAGGACCCAACACCAAGGGATTGGAGAGACCAGAAGGTACCGATACCGCTACTCCCCGGACCTCTCCCGGGGTGCGCTCTGACCAGAATTTCGAGGCGAATCCAGCGGTGGCGGCGAGGGCCTCCCAGGAAGCCCTCCCTTCGGGGAATCGAGGGAAGGGTCGCGACATGGGTGCCTTTTCCTCCTCTGAGGGATGGCTGGGAGCAAGAAGCTTGCCCGTCCCGCGTGGCCATGCTTATGGCTCCTGATGTACTTGTCGACGTCTCGGTCGTTGGCGGCCTCCGACGGGCGCCCCCGCGGGAGGGCGCCGCGCGGCAGTCCGTGGGGCGGGGCAGCGAGGCGAGGAGGGGGGGAGGGCGGGGAGCAGGAGCTGCGTTTCGGGGGGAGGGCGGGGAGGAGGGGGGGGAGAGGGGAGGGGGGGGGGGGAGAGGGCAAGGGGCGAGAGGCGAGAGAGGGAGGCACGCTGGGTGCGCTCGCGCCTCATCGGGCATCCTATCCCTCCCTCCCTCCCTCCCTCCCATCCGTTCCCCTTGCGCTGCTCGTGTGTCTGTCCTCGGACGCGTGTCATATCCGACCTGCGGCTGCAACAGGAAGACCACATCGTCTGATGCGCAATCGGAAGAGGTGAGCTGCGTGCACAGGAGGAGGAGGAGGAGGAGGACGAAGTGGCGGGTGAGAAGAAGGATGACCAGGCGGAAAACGACGAGGACGAACAGCAGCAGCAGGACCTGGAATGGAAGGAGCGGGAGGAAAATGAGGACCAGGAGAAGGCGGAGGAGAGGAAATGAGGGGGGTGACAGCGATGAAGTAAGGTTTGGATTCAGACAAGTGGCCCGCGCTGGGGCGAGAGCGCTATTCGGAACGACAGGAGCAAAGCGCCAATCTGAAAATGAGCCCCACGCTGCAGCGGGAGCACCCAGCGTGAAACATCAAAAGCAATCGGATGGTAAACAAAACATTAGAAAGGCAACAGGTGAGATCCGGCGTGACCAGAAACGGCACACGGAGAGGGCCGAGTAACTTCGGGACGGCGTCACGGGAGAGACGAGCAGTATTCATTTTGTTTCGCTGTTGGGAACGAGGAGAGGAGGAAGGACGAGGAGAGGAGGAAGTACGAGGAGAGTAGTATCCATGTTGCTCAAGTGTGGAAGGGGGGAAGGGGGCGGGGAGGGGAGGGTCAGGAGCAGGGGGCAGGAACGGCAGGAGCAGCTGGATCACCGAGCAGGGATGAGGAGCGCGGAACAGGCGACGAAGAGGAGGAGGAGGAGGAGGAGGAGGAGGAGGAGGAGCGCGGAAGAGATGAGACGGAGGGAGGGAGGGAAGAAACGAATAGGAGCGCGGAAGAGACGAGGCGGAGGGAGGGAGGGAAGACGAGGCTAACGGGGCCTCTGGGACTCTAGGAATCCAGGCTTGCCTCGCGCGCGCCCCCGCAGGGGCACGAGGCCTGGGTAGAGGAAGGGGCCTCCGACGACGGCGACGAAGGCAGCGAAGGCGAAGGGCGGCGGCGCAGACGAGAGACGACACGAGCTCGGCGGCCGAACGAGCGCAGCGACGCGAAAGGCGTCGACGGCGGTGGCAGCAGCTGGCCCCACGTGGGCAGGGGCGGCGAGGCGCCTCGAGGATGAGGCAAGGGCGGAGGAAGAGGAGGGCTCGGCGGCAACGCATAGGGGCCTCCCGTGCCATATCTTGTTGGCCGGCGCTCGTCGACGTTGGTCGACGGTGGTCGGCGCTAAATCGACGGCGGCCGACGCTAAGGGACGCTGACCCGACGCTGAATCGGCGCGCTCGCGCCCTGATTACCAGACGCTGCTCGACGCCAAAGACGGAATTCAGACGGTATACAAGGCTCCCATAATCTACGACCGAAGGAGGAGGGTCGGAGACAGACCATGACAAAGTCTCCGCCCCTCCCTGCCGATCCGCGCGAGCGGAGGGCTCGGCACGCGCAGCGCCCCACAGGTCGGCGTCGGCCCACCACTGCGCCATGCCACGGTTGGCGTGTGCAGGCCTGCTTGCCTCTGGCCTTCCTGGGCGCACGGATGCGTGACCCCCCCTACCCCTGCACAGTGCGGTGGTGGGTGTATGCGCGGCTCCGCAGCGGGTGCGGCGGTTCGAGTCGCTCGTGGTCGCTGAAGCACATGCTCTATTCTGCAGCCCTGCCCCTGCTTTGCTGCTTGATGTCAACACTGCTGTCTTTCCAAGGCTCCACGTGCGCTGGACACAATAGCGAGGCGACGCAAAGAGATGGGGAACATTGACGGGGAGAAGCTGGTGGATGCGCACAATGCCGCGCCACTCGGGGGAAGCGGTGGCGTTGGGGCGAGCCGAATCGTAAATTCGACGTGGAGCTTCTTGGCGTGCGTGTTCGCCGTGCGGTCGACGAACACGCCCTCAGCGCGCCACTTCACCGTTTGGTCGCCGCGATTGCACTCCTTACGTGGCGACCTGGGTCTCGACTCACCCCTGCAGGGTACAACGCGAAGAGGTCACCCAGCGCCACGAATCGGCAACCCCGGCGCTTCGCTAACGGGCGCCTCCATGCCGAAGACCTACGCGCGCTCCATGCCTGCGGCCAGGCACGGGCCGTTCGGCACCGAAGGGCAGGCCAGCCGAGCTGGGGACCTGGTGCCGGGGGCGGCGCCTTCCCCTGCGGCTCCGCATGCGTTGAGCCGCGAAGGCGCGGCGGAGGGTGCGCCGAAGCGCCTGCCGAAGCGCACGCGTGCGAAACGCTGTGAGACACTGCGCAGCCAAGCGCACGCCTGCTAAAGCGTACACCTGGGGGGTGGTCGCCTGGCAGCCAAGATCTCGAGATTTGCCTCGCGGAGGTCCACCCGCAGTGCCAGTCGTGCTCCGGCCCCGTCGGCGCGGAGCCGAGCGCGTCGTGGGCGCGGAGGCCGTGCTGGAACTTCAAGCGTGTCCACGCTCCTGCCCCGAAGGGGTCCTCTCGGCTACGCGCAAGAGTGACCCTAAGCAAGAAGGAACTTTGGTGCGTGACTTTCGGGGAGGCCAAACCCGAGGGCGCAAGACGCTGCTATCTCATCGCATTCAGTCATCTAGGGAACCCACTATGCCCGCACCAAAGGTCACTCCAGCGAAAGGTCACTCCTACGTCTAGCCAATCCTCCCCGTCCTCATTCGCACGTGGAGCGAGAAACGGACGGCCTGGGACCCTTGGAGGACTCCGCGCCAGCTCGCGACGACCGTGATCGACCACGATGACGACAATGACGACGGCATGACGGGGAGGAAGAGAGGGAAGAAGGCACGGCGTCGGTGTGCCCGTATGCCTGAGAGGGGCAACTGTGAAAGGAAAATCCAAATCCGACCCTTCTCCGCAACCGCATGACCCGGGCGTGCCGGTGGCAGAAACCCAAGGCGCTGCCCAGGCAACAACCTCGGTGCTTTCGGGCCTCCGGGTCTGCTCGAGGGGAGGTGTCTCAGTCGGAATCGCTGTAGGAGCAAGAGGAAGAGTGCACGTGGCTATCCGGCGGGCTCCACGACTCGGCGGCAGCCAGCCAGCCACTCTTCAGTCCATGAGGAAGTGGCCGGTGAAGTCGCCGACGAAACGACGTTGATGAAGTGGAGTGCGACGAGTAAGAGGGAGGAGGAGGGGAAGGTGTGGGGCAAGGAGGGAGGAGGACGAGGAGGAAGGAGGGGGGAGGAGAAGGAGGGGGTGAGGACGAGGAGGGAGGAGGAGGAGGAGGAGGAGGGATGAAAACCACGTTAGGAGGGAGGAGGAGGGGATGGCGTGGAGCAGGAAGGGCTGGCGAGGGGGGGGGGACACGCGGCAGACGGGGGCGGCGCTGCGGGGCCTGGACGCAGGTGATCAGGGCGCGCGCCTGGCTCGGCCCCCCGGCGCCCGGCCGGCCCACCCGTCGGCCACCGCTCGCGCAGCCCGCGCCACTCTTGCTGTGAGACCCTCGTCCGATGGAGCACTACACTTATGTCGGGCGTGTCCCCCTACAGGGGGGTTTTCGACGAAAAATAAAACATACCCCAAAAATACTCCAGAAAGGGAAAACAAAATAGTCCAAAAATAGTCCCCAGACTATGTTTGGACTATTTTTGGATTTTTTTTCTGAGGTATTGTTCGTCGAAAATCCCCCTGTAGAGGGGGACAGGCCCGACTTAGCACTACACGTTTCGTGTGGCCACCGACAGCCACACGAAACGTGCGATCCTCCACCTGAGCATCGCACGGGCTCTCTGCCAGCCGGCAGCCACGCCAAGCATGTGACTCGGCGGTGCACAAACGTCCCTTTAGCAAACCTCCCCTCAATGAAAACGGCCTGGGATCGAAACCGACGGACCTGGACCCGCAAAAATGACGGCCGCGACGCCCTCTCGCGAACCTAAAGCGGCCAATTCGCGAATCGACGTGTCAGGGCAGGAGGTCTATCCACCTCCCACTTGGACGCCCGAAATGGGTACGGAAAGAATGGGTACAATGCCCAACAACAAATGTTGTCCCAAACCAACAGCCGCCGCTGTTGGGCAGGCGGCCCTCTGCCTCGAATGGACACAGGCCGCGGCGGCGTGGACAGCGAATCCTGGTCCAAATGAACAGGAACTGCGAATTGGGCATTGTACCCATTCTTTTGGCACCATCCTCCTCGTCCTCCTCCTCCTCCTCCTCCTCCTCCTCCTCCTCCTCCTCCTCCTCCTCCTCCTCCTCCTCCTCCTCCTCCCCCTCCTCCTCCCCCTCCTCCCCCCTTGCGCGTTGGTTGGGCGCCCTCCTCCTCCCCCCCTCGGGCCACGGCCCTCGCCAGCAGAAGCACGCGGCCGGACCCGGCCGCGGGAGCTGTAGGAGGCCGCGCGCCCGGCCCGCGCGGCCGCACGGGGGCCGAAAACGCTGGAGGGACCGCTGGCCTCAGGTCGGGCCTGTCCCCACACAGTCGAGGCGTTGACCTAAGGAACCCTAAATGAGGAACGAGGCCTCTATTTTCCATAAGTTGAACTTCGATTTCGTATCGAAAACCTAAGGAAAATCCAGGGCAAGCTGCGAAACAATTAAGGAACACGGAACCCCTCCCCAACGAAAAGGGTTCCTTCTTCAGGGCCCCGACTGTACAGGGGAATTTTGGACGAAGCATGAAAATACACCAAAAATGCCCAAAAGATGCCCAAAAATACTTATCAAAAAAGAATCGCCGGACTTTTGTTTTGTACTACTTTTTAATATTCCACCCTGTAGAGGGACAGGCCCGACTTAAAGCTGGCCGCATGCGCATCCGATTCTCGCCCAGGCCGGCTGCGCCGTGTGTGCATCCGGCTCCCGGGTGGACGTCGCAGCCCGGAGACCGTCGACCGTCCACGCCGTGGGGCCACGCCGGCGACCAGGGCAGGACAGCGGGCACCGTCAACGAGATCAGAGCGGACATGCTGTTGATCCCGATGTTCGCCCGAACCTTTCTCGCCTCCGACACCCCGATTGCCAGGCATACCGATCGTCAGCATAGACGAACGACCGAAATGACACAACTCAATGGCCCTTCAGTCAGAGCGGCCCCATGCAGCACCACGCTCCAACGAAGCAATGCTCAATTCGGTCGTGGTCGAAACCATGCTCACCTTCCGATACTGGCCTAATCACAATGCCAACTTGCATGGCGAATGCTGGGCATAAACAGCACATGTACGTATACACCTGCAAGCGCATGTATATGCATGTGTATGTATGTGCACCTATGCGCTCCTCGAGCTGTGACTGCACGCCAGGGCTCTTGCTGTGTCTTCTGATGGATGGGTAGGAGGAGGAGGAGGAGGAGGAGGAGGAGGAGGAGGAGGATGAGGAGGAGGAGGAGGAGGAGGAGGAGGAGGAGGAGGAAGAGAGGAGGAGGAGGAGGAGGAGAGGAGAGGAGGAGGAGGAGGAGGAAGAGGAGGAGAGGAGGGGAGGAGGAAGAGGAAGAGGAGGAGGAGGAGGAGGAGGAGGAGGAGGAGGAGGAAACCACGCTCTTCGCCGCGCCAGGGGCAGTGACCCGCTCGCCGGCGCCCCGTGGGCGCCCATGGCGCCGGGCGGGTCTCCCGAGGACTCGCCGCGGTTGGCGCCCGTGCCCGCCCGTGGGCGCGCCGTGCGCTGGCTGGGTCTCGTCGGGGGGTCGCCGCGTTGGCGTCCGTGCCCCGCTCGGGGGCGCCTCGCCCGGCGCCCCCGTGCGCGGGGTGGGCTTGCCGGGGCCTCGCCTCGCTGGAACGCGTGCCCGCTCGTGGGCTATCCGTGGGCAACACAGCTGACACCACACAGCTGGCGCCGCACAGCTTGCAACGCAAAGCCCACACTGCGCAGCTTGCGCCACACACAGCTGGCGCCGCACAGCTTGCACCACATGGCTGCCGAGGTTTCAGCACACAGCTCACACCACGTGATGTGCACAAGACGGCTCGCACCGCATCGCTCACACCACATGGTTTATACAAAATGGCTTACACGACACAGCTTGCACTCAAATAGATCGCGCCAAATAACTCATGCCTGATAACTTTCGTAACATAGCATACAACACGTAGCTGCACCACATAATTTGCCTCGCGTAGCTCACATCGCAAAGCTGGCACAACACAGTTTCATATATATATAGTCATATCGCATGAGGTAGCTTGCACAACAGATCGTCCACTTCCACAATGCGATTATTCACTGCTTAGGACCCACACTGGTTAACACGTGTCTATATATACATATACACAGAGTTGTACACATATGTTGCGCAAACGAAAATATCCAGCCTGGGGCGCCAAGCTGTGGCGCACCCCGCTGGACTGCTGTCTTGCAATCCCCTGGAGGTACGAGCGACGAAAAGAAGGGTCTCACACGAGATGGCATTGCGTCCTTGCGCGGTGGCATACGCGGCCTGCCAGCGCGGCAAGCTTCATTGGAGACGAAGGCGCTTACGCGCGACCTTACGCGGGCAACTTACGCGCGAAGATTGGCGCAATCAGCCCCGCTTTTTTCGTCGCCCGTGTGTCTCTCGTCCTGCCTCCCGTACAATCGGCCCGAATCATAAGGATGCGCGATAAGGACGCAAGGGGCCTTGGTCGCCCATTTCGAAGCTCTTCGAGCGGGGCGCGGCCAACGACAGTGGCCAGGAATGGGCCGAGGAGGCAAGGATGCCAGGGCACCCTTGGGAAGGTTGCCCATGCTCACTATGCGGGTTGACTGCATCTCTGGTCACATCTCCTCCCTGCTGTCGACAGGAAGGCCCGCGGCACCACCAGAGAGCACTCGGGGGCGTAGGGCCTCAGCGCCCTGGCCGCCCGAGGCTGCCCCAGGACTCCCACAGGGACACCACTGGGCAGTCAAGAGGTCCCAGGAGGCCTCCCTCCAAGAGCGCCCCAGGCGGACCCAAAGAGCCCAAGGCGGCCCAGGATGGCCACGAGGCGGCGGCCCCATGACGGCCCAAAGGAGGCCACACGAACCCGCCAAGAGGCTGGAACCGCACGCGGCTGGACTCACATGCGGGACATGCGGAAGCCACGCGCTGGATGTGCATGCGGCACGCCGGCGGGCCCTTCCGTGAGGGCAGAGCGCCGGGAAGACATGCGGTCACACGTGTGTCCAGCGCTCGCCCAGGCCAGCCACGTCACGTGTATCAAGCTTCCTGGTAGCAAGAGTACCCAAGCCGCTACGGGAAGGTAACACATCCTGGAATAAAAGATATCGCGGTGTTCGATGCTCTCTGCTTGTCGCCTGTCTTGCTCCCAATGTTGCTCCAAGGCGCCCCAGATAAGCTTCAAGATAGCCAAGGATGGGCACAAGGCGGCCTTCACCAGCATCGCTCACGACGGCCTTCACCAGCATCGCTCACGACGGTCCCACCAGGCCCCAAGCCGCCCACAATGTGCCCTCGACCGTCCCCTAGATGGCCCCAAAGACCCAAATATAGCCCCACTACTGCTCAAGAGACGTGCGAGACGACCCCCACATGGCCCAAGACACGCCCCAGAGGCGCATGTAAACGTCCCGACAGAGCCTCGGACGCCCCAAGTGGAGGTGGAGGGCGGGGGCAGCGGCAGCGGCAGAGGGCGAAGCACGCTACGTGCGGCGAAACATGCTGTACGCCGCGGCGCGGCCGAGGCAATCCGCACGCGCGCTCAGGCGGTCTGGGCAACGGAGAGCGCAGATTGACCGGCGGCAGGAGTCCAGCGCAAGCTCCCAAACGCTCGCGGCGACGAGCGGGGCCGACCGAGGGGCCCGGAACGAAGACGAAAGCGAGGACCAACAGAACCCGACGGCCGCGAGGGAGGAGGGAGGGAGGGGAGGGCACTTACATGTGGCAAAGCATTCGGATAGAGGTCTGCTCAGGCGGCTGACATGTGGGCACCCCACTGGCCGACAGCTGCCAGCCGTATCTCACACACCATCAATCCCGTGTGCTACTGGCTGTTGACACCCTCTGCACAAGCGTCGCCTGCGACATCACACTTGTTGCCTGCCATGTGTGGCACAGCCTGTGCAGAGCATGTGCGAACTTCGCCAGTTCATGGCGGATACGATTTTAGTCTGCGTATGCCCCGTCCGTTGATCATAGTTTATCTAGTTTCACGTGCGCCACTCGTGTATAGAGTCCTGCGTGCAGCTTTTCCTTCATCACATGTTTTGTGCATCTACGTGTCTCGCAAAGTTGAGTTGCTATCGAGGCGCGCATCATGCCTTACATTACATGTGCTTCACATGCTGTATCGGACTGGGCTGGGCTCGATGCGCTTGCGCTGTTCACCTGTACGTGGATGCAGGCGGAGTGCAGCATGATATATGCAAGGTCTGGGCCAAGACACCATGGCAACTCTGGCCGTCGCCTGCTGTCGAGACATTGAATTCGGATGGTTTCCAGATGGGCTTGTATACTTGAAGGGGCCCTGGGACACACAAATAAATACACACAAATAACAGGATTCACCATAGTTTCCCATATCTTCTGGGTTTTTGTCTTCCCCCCACTTCCCATATTTTCCTATCTCTTCTGGGTGATCGACGATCAATTGTGTCTGTGTGTATTTTTTCCCCTCCTGTATATTTGCCGCCCGTGGAGTCAGCGAGACCTGGAGGTGAGCCTGGCTGGCGCCCACCGCGGGGAACCGACCTCCCAGGACCCCAGAAGGGGCGGTGGATTATGTCATATTTAGGCCCCAGGGAGTCAGAGTCTATCGGTATCCACCGCCTCTCGAGGTCCAGGGAGATCGGCTCTCCAGGCGGCGGACAGGCCAGTGAGGCGGCCGAACGGTCTGGTACCCTCCACGGGTGCGTGGCCGAAATGGGGGTTCCGCGGTGCGGATTGCTGTTGCTGCTGCTGCTCGCCGTCTTCACCCGCGAGACCCGCCCGAGACGCACCCGCGATCACCCGCGACTGCGGCCTACCCGCGAGCCGCCCGCGTCTCGCCCGCGACCAACCCACATGGCTGCGACAAGAAAGCTGCGCCTGCGGCGGGCCACTTCGAAACGGCCTCCGTGCCTTGCAGGATGCCGACGATCGCACCGCCGCCTCGCGATTCTCCGAAGCTGCGGAGACTCTGAAGAAACCGCAACAGCCTCGGGCGAAGCACCTGTTTGGCGGCGCGCAGAAGGGGGGTGGCGGGAGGGGGGAAGGCCTCTTGGAAGGAGGCTGCTTCTGAGAAGGCGCCGGCCTTACATCTACAGAGAAGGACCGCGCCTCCTGAGAAGCAGGGGTGCTTCTGAGAAGCCCTCCCCCCTCCCCCCGCCCCCCCATCTGTGGCTGACTCGTCGCGTCTGGTGGAGCAGCAGCGGCCCAAGCGGCCGCCCCTCCCCGCCCCAGCCCGGCCACGACGTCGGACAGAGACAGAGACAGAGACATGCAGCTGGACGTCCCCCCGGGCCGCCAGGCGCGCACACGCACCCGCCCCTGGCCCTCCAGGGCCACGTCGCGAACCCTGGCCGGCCTCCTCCTCCTCCTCCTCCTGGTCCTCCTCCTCCTCCTCCTCCTCCTCCTCCTCTCCTCCTCCTCCTCCTCCTCCTCCTCCTCCTCCTCCTCCTCCTCCTCCTCCTCCTCCTCCTCCTGATCCTCCTCCTCCTCCTCCGCCTCCTCCTCCTCCTCCTCCTCCGGTCCCGGAGCGGCGGAGAGCGGAGAAGCGCCTGCCTGCCAGGGCCACCCCAGCCTGGACTGCGGGTTGGGGGGGGGTACGAGTTCCACACGTGTTTTTGTCCATGCTCCCCGACGCCCCGCCCCCCCCCCCCCCCCCGGGAATCGGAGAGCAAATTGGGGCTCTTCGGGTCGGGTTGAGGTGGCTTGGCGGGTGGTGAAGAAGGGGGTTCGGTCCACGGCCCACCAAGGGGGGGGGGGGGGACGGGCTCCACATGTGTTTTTCAATGTTCCTCGACGCCCCCCACCAAACTGGGAATGGAGGGCGAATTGGGGCCTTCGGGTGGGGTTGAGGTGGTTGGTGAAGAAGGGGGTTTGATCCCACA